AAATGTATTACAAAACCTGTGGAACTAAAGAGATCATTTAGAAAGAAATCCGTAGATCAAAATGCTTAAAAAAAAATGGCCCCTGGGGCGCCTGGGTGGCTCAGTGGGTTAAAGCCTCTGCCTTCGGCTCAGGTCATGATCTCAGGGTCCTGGGATCGAGCCCCGCATCGGGCTCTCTGCTTAGCAGGGAGCCTGCTTCCTCCTCTCTCTGCCTGCCTCTCTGCCTACTTGTGATCTCTCTCTGTCAAATAAATCAATAAAATCTTTAAAAAAAAAAATAAAATAAAAAAATAAAAAATAAAAAAAAAAATGGCCCCAAACTTTCAAAACAAAGCATCGAACTTGAGAAGTCCAAAAGAAAAAAAGCAGCAAAGAAGTGACTTTTCTCAAAACCAGCTGGTGAGAGGCAGAGCGGAGATTTAAAACCAGGTCTCCTTCACTCAAAGACTGTGATCTTTTCCTCATGGCTTTTCTGAATAAACAAGCCCCCAAATCAATTTGAGAAAAAAAGTCTTGGTGAAAGAAGAAAATTCTTAAAGCTGAACTGAGGTTGTCCAAGGAAATGGTGGTTAAGCTACCAGAAAAGTAAAACTTCTAACATCAAAAATGAGGCTGAGCAATTTATCCACCAGGCACATGTTTTGAGTTATTTTAATTTACTTTTCCTACGTACTAGAACTTGCCTTTCTGAACAGTTTCTGGCTTGGCTTATACTATTTAACTTAGTAAAGCTTTTCTAAAAATTATTTTTGGGGTATGACCTCAGAATCTTGCTGGGCCCCAAGGCATTTCTCATCACAATCCATGCACATTTAGGTAACTGAATCACATCCTTACTAACGGCTCTCTTTCTAGCTTGGAATCTTCACCCAGTGGTGATTATGTAAGAGACCATCAGGCTGCATTATTTCCTGCCTTTTGTCCTGGTCCAGCACCATCCAAATAACGCTGCAGCCAGCATTTACTTGGGCAGGATATGGCTGTCCCAAAACTGTTTTTTATTTAAAAAAAAAAAAAAGAAGAAGAAGAAGAAGATGAGTTGGTAACTCTGATTCCTCACGGAAATTGGTTTTCAGTTAAAAAGAACTTCTCAAAATAACCTAGCCTCCTCTTTTATCAAGGACACATATTCAAAAATTTGTTTCGTTAAAGTGTTAGCAAATTCAGAAAGTGTCAAACCACAAACCAAGAGATAATCATTGTTTCTCAGGCTCCCACCAAGAGCAACTGTTTTCTCCCCACCTCATGGCCATCCCTCATGTCAAAGATTTATGAGCTATTTTAATAACATACTTATTAAAATGAAGTATACTTTTAAAATATTAAATGTTTTAAACACTACCTTTATTTCAACAATAGAAGGTTATCTTGAGTAAAATACCAATACCCCAAGACAAAAACAACACAGCAACCAAAACTAGCCTTAATCCTTTCTAGGATTTAATAACTATATTAATAGCTATTTTATAGCTATATTTTATAGCTATATTAATTTTATAGCTATATTATAGCTATATATTATATATATAATAGCTATATATTATATATAGCTATATATAGCTATATTAATAGCTATATTAATTAAGATTAATTAAAATTAATTAGGCATTCAAATAATAATCACAACGAAGAAAATTTCAGCATGCACATATGCTCTGTTTTAAACCATTAAATTCACACAGTTTCAGATATTTTTGTCAGCAAACCCTAAAAGCCAGTTCATTGTCTTGCCTCAGATCTTTAAAATTAAAAAAAAAAAAAACAAACAAAAAAAACGACCTAAGATGACAGCCACAGTAGCATCGTTTTTGGATCTCCCCAAATGTATGCATAAAACCAGACAGAATAACTGAATAACAACATCAAAAACCCAAGAACAATGTGCACAGCCAATGCCATTATCTGAGGTCTTGCCATTGGGTTCAAACAGGAGTCTGATCAGGCCTGTGGATCCAGCTACCAGTTTGCAGGAAATGCAGAGAACAGGGAAAACAGGTGAGCTGCAGCAGGAAAGTCCATAGGTTAATCACCCTGGATTCTTCCAGAGATAAATTGTTAGGGATAGAAAAATTGGGGAGGAGGATGGAGCAATGGAAAGGTTAAAAGAGTTTTTGTTTTTGTTTTCTAAGATTTTCTTATTTATTTCACAGCAAGATAGAGAGAGCCAGAGAGCACAAGCAAGGGGAATGGCAGAGCGAGAGGGAGAGCAGTCTCCCTGCTGAGCAAGGATCCCAACATGGGGCTTGATCCCAGGACCCTGGGATCATGATCTAAGCTTTAAGCAGAGGCTTAACTGACTAAGCCACCCAGATGCCCTAAGAGTCTTGAAAAAGACACAAATTTACCCTTAAGTGGATAGGATTAAACCACAGCCTTGGGATGTACACCTGGTGATAATACTATAAAGAAATTCAGGGAAGGATTTACTTTATAAAGCAGGATAATGGCAACTCTAGGAAAAGAAAAGGGCAATAAGGCTATGGCTCATGGAGGGGCTTACTGGGTAGGCAGAGAAATTCTAATTCCTGACTTAGGTGATCATTACAAGCATGCTCACCTCAGGATAACTCAGTAAGCTAAACATTTGCTTTGTGTGGTTTTCTGTATGTGTGTTGTTTTTGTTTTGTTTTGTTTTGTTTTTTTACGGAAAATTTGTATCACTGGTATAACCTGTCACCAAAAGATTTATAACATTTAAAATAATTTACATTTACTTAAAAGTTATATGAAACTTTTAAAATAATTATATGAAAATAAACAATATTACAAAATAATTGGATGGAAGTAAACAATGTTACAAAATTCAAGTTAGCTACTGTAGCCTGGGGAAGGTTCAAAGGCCGATTTTGTCTGTTTAACAGGAGACTAACAAGTGCTGCTGAGTGTTAACGACATGCTCCGCCTGAAATGAGACTCTGTCCTGACTTACACAGGTCTTGAAAGAGATCTGAAAAGGGAGTAACGTTTTCACTCCGTGATTCAGGATTATCTTAGGTTTTGCCACATACTACCTGAACTCATCTCCTGTTTCACTTCAAATCTTCTCCTGGACCATCCCTGTCTTGTGCTTCTGGAAACACCGGGTTAATAAAAGGTCTGGTAGGGGTTCCTGGGTGGTTCAGTCGGTTAAGTGGTTAAGCACCTGCCTTGGGCTCAGGCTGTGATCCCAGGGTCTGGGGACTCCCTGGGATGGAGCTCCTGTTGGTCTCCCTGCTCAGCGGGGAGCCTGTTTCTCCCTCTCCCTCTGCCCCTGCCCCTGCTCATGCTCTCTCTCTCTCTCTCTCTCTCAAATAAGTAAATAAAATATTTAAAAAAAAAAAAAAAAAGGTGTGATGCATGAGGGTATGTCAGACCTAAGAAGAGGTTGAAAAACAAAAACTTAGCACTCTCAAATCATCAACAGATGCATTTTATTCATTCCAGCCCTTTCTAAACACGCTTAAAAGGTTTGCTTTTCCATTATGAGCATTTAAGCAAGAGACCAGCACTAGGCTCCTGTGAGAGCTGCTTGTTATCATCCTGGTTACGAGCACACACACTTCGCTGGGTACTTACAGGGCACCCTCAGAGCCTAGCAATAATCTGCCTTTGCCTTTATGCCTAATGTGCTTGGAGGTTCTCGAGTGACAAGAGGCCCTGTATCCAAAAGAGCAAATTACAAAAATGAGTACAAAGGCCCTCCGTCATCTGAACTCCGTATCTTAAAACAAGGCACCACATCCTGAGCTGCTGGCTCATCAACACTAGGCCAATGTGACCTCAAAGCCCCTTAAAAAAAAAAAAAAAAAAAAAAAAAAGTGTATCGGAATACATAATAGACTTAGAATAAAAACTTGTAACGAGCAAAAAAACCCCGAAATCCCTGAAATTCAAATAGCTCGGTCGTGTTTTAAAAACATTTATGTAAAATACATATAAAAAAGTGGCCTGATTCTCCTGTAAATGAATTGAGAGCAAGTCTGGTTGTATCTCCTCTCTCCCTGACCACCTTTGCTACAATCATTTGAAGAGAAAGAAAAACAGGAGCCAGACGGTTTCATTTTTCTGGCACTGCTGCTTACAATAGAGAAGAACAAGAACAGTAAGGCCAACACATAAAGACCAAGCTCAGGCAACTGAAAGGGAACTTGTGTAACAAAGGAAGATTAGGGTTGAATTCCTGTCTTCAATCTCTGTATCTTAATCAGTCTCCCTTGAAAGGAAGGCTGACCCCATTTCCTCTATTCTCTCACTACCTCCAGCCTCTTCCGCATTTCCTTCCCTCTTTGTTTTTTTGAACCCTCAAACTCCTAGCTTACCCACAATTTTTTGTTTTTCTATTTTCCACCTCTTTATGAGACTTGTATGTAAACAAATTCTTGAACATTCGGAAATCCAAAGTTCCGCTCACCACACAGGTGCTTATGGAAGCTCAGTCCACTGTTTCCATGACTCCTGAGAAAATCACACCTAATTCACATTCCCTGGATCATCTCTGTGAAAGCAGGTACACCCTGGGTAGTCAGTCCAGTTCCCAGGCTCAACTTCCTATGAATATCCAGAGCAAAGGTCCCTTTCATGAATGCTTCTCCAACTGTAGGAATTCATGAATAAGTTTAAATAGGAAACTCTCCACACTAGCGCCTGATGAGATCAAGACTTACAGAAGTTAAAGAAAATTCACATTTAACCCTCCATTCTAGAAATGACTACAAGTGAAGAAACCCAGAAATGTCCAGAGCTCAGCTAAGCCCTCCGTAGCAACAAAATGTATCACTCAGGTACAGAAGACAGAAACTCAAGTCAGATCTGACACTTTCAGCTACCATCCTGGACTTGTGTCATTTTCCTCAAGGCATGGGGCCCTGACCCACAGGCCTGCTCTTGTGGGCCCATCTAGAGCAGGACTGGTGAGGGGCTGGCGGGTTGAGGAGTCGTGGCCCTTATAGCTTGGACTTTTAACCCAACCCCTTTCCAACAAACAGCAGAGAAATATGAGAGCCTGGTTGGACATTACTTACTGCCTGCTGGATATCAGTCTTCACTTGCTCACTCAACATGCCTTCAAAGACAAAGGAGTCACCAAACTTCTCGGCCTGAAAGGAAAGAAGGAAATAAAAATCCAGAATGGTTGTAACAACGTGTTTCACATGGACAGTTTTCTCTGTGCGTAAAAGTGATTCTTCTAGTCCAAATGAACTTTAGTTATTCTTGTGACTTCCCAGAGGATTCGGAAATGACTTAAAAGCATCTGGCTTCCTATTAAAACAGGTTAATATCAATCACTTACAGAGATCATGGTCTTTTCAGGCTCATTTAGCTGATAAGAATGCAGACTGGAAGAGATTAGCTTTTGAGAATGTGATTGCTCCTGTTGATGGAAACACATCTCCGCAAGTATTTCAAATGACTTGGAAAATAACAGTATTCTTTACAGGTCACTTTACATAACCAACCTTTGTCCTTTGCTCTGCTCCTGCAATCTAGCTAAAAGAATTGAATGACATTGTTGGCTGATATTCTGATAGACTCTGGCTCCCCTAAGGGGTCAACTGTGTTTATAAATCTCAAGTGGCCAATTGAAGCATCAGATGGAAATGTGTATTTTTATTATTTTCATTTAACATTACTGCCTCGAGTCCTCATCTACCTGTTTTATCTGCATAAACCTCATACTGCAAAGGCCTATATTAACCCCTTCGTCTCCATGATTCTATTCTTCTAGTTTCCCTCCTCTTTCTGACCTCTTACTCATCTCCTGAAATACAGGGCTCTTCTTCTAGCCCCTAGAATACTGTTGCTCCCTAGTGCTCTGCCTTGCTTCTTCTTTCTCTTCACCAGTGGCTCCCGGGCTTTGTGCAGCGGCGATCACCTGGCCAGCTTACCAAACTACACGTTACTGCTCCTCAACCTCAGAATTTCTGGTGAGGCCAAGGAACCTGCACATGTCAACAGCTCAACTGGTAACTGGTGGTCCAAGAGATCACACTTGGAGATACACCGACCTACTGACAGACAATCTCCTTCAATCTCACTGCTATAATGACCAGCAGCATGCACTTCAAATGACCGTCCCATCTCCACCTCCATCCAGGCCAGTCCTGTCCTCACTAGATGATATTAACTGCTTACTGGATTCCTGTAGTTCAGGCCTTACAAACACCTCGAACTCCTTTCCCTGATCAGAGTGTATCATCTTTTCTTCACCCCTGCTCTTCCTCCTCTTTCCGTTGTGGGAAAGTACCTAAGCACCCAAACCATCCCTTCATCCAATGAACAAGTTCCAAACATGTTGCTCTGTTTGGGCAGCCATCCTTGTTCTGTGCCTGAGTATGAACTAAATGACGGAGATACAATGTCAGTATTAGGTAAGTACAGTCCCTGTCTTAATAGCACTTACATGTGGGGGCACAGACAAAACTCAAGTCAAAGAAAGGATGGAAGAAAATACTTATAACTTTACTTGATCTTGTAAGGTAAAGAGTATCAAGAAAAGCCTCTTTTCAATAGAGTAGGGAGAAGAGGTCTCCTTGAGAAGGGGCCATTCAGCTGCAATGACTCAAAATGAGAAGGAATCAGCCATAGTAAAAGGGAGATGCGCATGGGGAGAAGGAAATTCTAAGCAGGGCAGGGAGAAGAGTGGAGACCTCAAGCTGGAAAAGAACGCTGAGTTTTCAAGGAATCGAAACAAGACCAGCTGGGCTTGAACATGGTAAGTGGAATATGATATAAAATAAAGTTGGAGAGACAGAAAAAAACTGTGAAGTATACTAAAAATATGAAACATTTATCCAAAGTAGGAGTTCTTAACACTTTTTGTACCCTGAACCCTCCTGGCAGTATGGTGAAGCTTAGGGGCCTCCTTCTCAGAGTGAAATGTTTAAATGTTTAAATACATAAATAAATGATTTCTTTTATGAAGAAAACCAGTTATCTCAAAATAGTAATAAATTTATAGTATAGCAATATATACATGCTCTTTATTAATATATTAAATAAGATCTAGTGGAAGGTCTCAAAATTATCATTTCTAAAGGAAGGATGAATGCAAACAATATTTCAAGATACCTATAATAACAATAACATGACAAAAAATGTTTGTGATTTCTACTGGTGACAAAGTTATAGATACTGTTATTTTTACTGTCATCTGCCTCATAATTGAAAGAAATGCTATACTTGAGTGAAAGGGTAGTAAAAAGCCAGACGTCGCTCTTCCCCATCCACATTCCTGAATGGCCTAAATTCTGTTTATTCTGTCTTCTTTATGAAGAACCCAAGTCTGAGGGGAGCTTGTCTTCTCACTTAAGTAGACTACCTAGGAGACTGATCTAGAAGGATCCTTATGAAACAAAAAGAAGAGGGTCTTCTGCTTACTATAAACAGGTACAAAAGAGAAAACTGCCTTGTATATTTTAGGAAATTCCGAAGAAATGTTATGCTGCAAAACCAAATTTGAACACTTTTTTGCTTTCAGCAATTACTTTTTTATTTAAAAGAAAAAAATGTTGTTCTGCGGGCTGGGTCGGGGGAAATAAAACAAGGATTCCACAATCTGAAGGCAAAGGTAAAGTCCTTTGGTGAGAGAAAATGGCAAGCCTACAAAACCGTATATTTTATCTTATTCTATTTTATTTTATTTTAAAGATTTTATTTGACAGACAGAGATCACAAGCAGGCAGAGGCAGGCACAGACAGAGGAAGGGAAGCAGGCTCCCCGCTAAGCAGAGAGCCCGATGCGGGGCTCGATCCCAGGACCCTAGGATCATGACCTGAGCCGAAGGCAGAGGCTTTAACCCACTGAGCCACCCAGGCGCCCCTCTTATTTTATTTTTTAAAGATTTTATTTATTTGACAGAGAGAGATACAGCGAGAGAAGGAACACAAGCAGGGGGAGTGGGAGAGGGAAAAGTAGGCCTCCAGCTGAGCAGGGAGCCCAATGCGGGGCTTGATCCCAGGACCCCAGGATCATGACCCAAGCCAAAGGCAGATGCTCAATGACTGAGCCACCCAGGCACCCCCAAAACAGTATATTTTAGACACTTAGAGAAAGTTTCATAAACTAAAAAGCCCCCTTCTTCTTACTCCCTTTTAGAAGAAACATCCAAAAGAAGAAGAAGAAGAAGAAGAAGAAGAAGAAGAAGAAGAAGAAGAAAGGAAGGAAGGAAGGAAGGAAGGAAGGAAGGAAGGAAGGAAGGAAGAAAGAAGAAGAAGAGGAAGAAACATCCACTTGCAGAACCTTGCTTTGGGATTCAGTGATGGGAGAATAACTTGGAATTGCTACAGGAGAGCTTATGAGTTGTCAGGCATTAAAATAAAACCACAGGAGTGCCTGGGTAGCTGAGTCAGTTGGGTATCTGAATCTTGATTTCAGCTCAGGTCATAATCTCAGAGTCATGAGATCGAGTCCCACATCAGGCTCGCACTGGGTGTGGAACCTGCTTAAGATTCTCTCGCTCCCTCTCCCTCTCAACCCCCACCAACCACAGGTTCATTCTCTCTCTCACTCTCTCTCTCTCTAAAACAAAAGAATAAAAGAAAAAACCACAAAACTGAAAAGCTATACTTCTCCATCTATTGTTTAATGAAATATGTAATGCTTCTTGAACAACCAAAGTGCAATTTTTGGAGAAGGAAAAGTGGCCTTACTTTAGATCCTACCCTCTATGTCAAAAAGCCTAAAAAGGCAGTGGCACTCTCTGGTATATTAAAGCATTGATATTACAGCATAATGGTTAGAAAATTTTCACTAGCCAGGCTTGAATCCCAGCTCCACCACTAACCAGCTGGGCAACTCAGGGCAAATATCTTTTCTAATCCTCAGTTTGCTACCTGAAAAATAACTGGCCTCCTGGGGCTGCTATGAGAACTGGATGAAATATATATAAGCTGCAGAGCACAGTATTGGGCACATAAAAAAAAAAAATGGTTAATCAACATTAGAAAAGAACAAGTTCTTCCTTCCCATCCCAACCCTATTACCTCTGTCAAATAGCCAGTTGAGTTCACAAACTTCTCAAATTCAGCATTACTGACTTCATAGGCATCCATGTAAAAGGCATCGATAGCAACTCTCCTGGCAGGTGCTTCCCCATCTTGCTTTATCTGAGGATCATCTGTGCCCATTGTAAACACTCCGGCAGGGATAAGGACCATCTGCAGTGAAAGGGAAGACGGAGAGTCATGCCGTCACAGCCAAAGTGGACGTGTTTAAATGGCAGAGTGCCTAGCACACAGTAAGCACCCAAAAGTTATTACATACCCACCACAGAAATCACTGCACAATCAGTAAAATCACTCCACACGCCTATGAAAGGGAAGGATTAGTCTCAAAAAGAAATGAGAATTCTTGCTATGCCTGGCTGGCTCAGTTGGAAGAGCATGTGACTCTTGATCTATAGGTCACAAGTTCGAGACCCACATCGTGTGTAGAGATAAATAAATATTAAAAAGGAAGGAAGGAAGGAAAGAAGGAAGGGCGGGCTCGCTCCTGGGTGGCTCAATCTGTTAAGCATCTGCCTTTGGCTCAGGTCAAGATCTCGGGCTCCTGGGATCAAGCTCCATATTAGGCTCCCTGCACAGTGAGGAGCCTGCTTCTCCCTCTCCCCCTGTTGCTTCCCTTGCTTATGCTCTCTCTTGCTCTCACTCCTGCTCTCTACTAAATAAATAAATAAAATCTTAAAAAAAAAAAAAAAGAAATGAAAATCCTCTTGGCAAGTAGTTCTTTAGTCCAAACTCTACTTGATACATGCCATGGAAACAGGTCTGGAACAATAGTCACCAAGCTGCTGATGGCTGGAGTACAAAGACAAGGAGAAATTCCACTTCTTTATACATTTGAGTATGTTTTTCCTTTAATATGATCTCATTTCTTGTAATTTCTCATTGAATTACTTTTAAAATCAAATGCAAAAATGCCATATGTAATATTCCTAAAAACCACTGAGTGAATGTGCATCTCCAGTGAAACAGAAAATACTTAAATCACTAAAATAGAATATCTAAAAAGTTTAATAAGGGACCATGTCTTGTCCTTATTATGTCCTTGTCCTTAACTGATTCCTTATTAAAACTCTAACTGCAATTACTTTGCTCCTATATACTGTCTCACATAAACCCTAAACTCTAAGAGACCATTGGATTGCCTTGTTCACGTCTGTATTTCCAGCACTAAGCATAGTGCCTAGGATTGCACCAAAAATATTCAGTTAAGAAATGTAGGCCTATGCTCAACATCATGACTCGTTAGGGAAATGTAAGTAAAAACTAAAAAGAGATTCTACTTCATGCCCACTAGCATGGCTATAACCCAAAACCTAGACAATAACAAGTGTTGACAAGGGATTGGAACCTTCATACATTGCTGGTAAGAATGTAAAACAATGCAGCTGCTTTAGAAAACAGTCTCTTGGTTCTTCAAAAATCTAAATAAAGAGTCACCATATGATACAATTTTACTCCTAGATATATATTCAAGATAAATGAAAACAAACATCCATGAAAAAAACTTCTTCAAATGTTCATAGCAGTAATATTCAGAAGAGTCAAAAAGTGGAAACTCAAAAGTCCATTAAATGACAGATAAACAAAATGTGGTATATCCACTAAATGAAATATTATTCAGCCATAAAAAGGAATGAAATACCAATACATATTACGATATGGATGAACTTTGAAAACATTATGCTAAGTGAAATAATCTACTCATAAAAGGCCACATATTGTATGAGTCCATTCATATGAAATGCCCAGAACAGATTAATCCAAGGAGACATAAAGTAGATTAGTGGTTGCCAGGGGTTGAGGGGAAAAAAAATGGGGAATGACTGCTAATGGATATAGGGTTTTGGGGGCGGGTGATGGAATGTTCTAGAATTACTGATGATGGTTGTGAAACCTTGTGAATGAGCTGGGAAACACTGAATTGTTCAAGTTATAAGAGTGAATTTTATGTTATGTCATTCTATCTTAATTTTTTTTAAAAGAACACAATCATACTATCTGCAGACACAGTATCTTACTTCCTAATCAGCTGAGTGAAAAATCAATTCATCGACCTCCCAGCAGTATAAGAACTGTGAAGCCTCTAATCTATAAAATAAGGGTTCAAATTGAGGAAGGAAAAAAAAGGAAGCCAAAGAGAGATAACTTGTTGGAATAAAAAGAAAGAATGTGACTTAGCAATAACAGCAGAAGACCTAGAAAAACAAGATTAAAAGAAACAGAAAGTAACAATCAACAATCACTGATTCCTACTATTTCCATTGACTTCCGTTACTAGTGGCTGTCTTTAATTCTGTGCATAGATTTCCCAATGAAAATGGAGCTCTTTTTCTATGACATATGGGTAATAAATGTCTTATTATTTGTTCAATGTATTACTATTACTCTAAGAAATCATGCTTGACTACTCCTGTTCCCTAATCCCAGCATTACAGAGGTCACTCCATCTTACTGGATCTCTCCCCTCCTTCTATTCCCAGAAACCTGCGAGGGCCTCACAACCAGTCACCCTGTCTCCAGTCTCATCCTTTCACATCCCTCCTTGCTCCTCTGTAAGCCATTTATCTTCTATTCAGTCATTCATTCAACAAATATTTAAGTACCTACAGAACCTTCTAAAATGTCAGCCCTTGGTATCCAATGTAACTTATTACAGCTCTGTTTTTAACAGAAAAAGACTGGCAATAAACTAAATGCCCATCAGTAGTGGAAAGGTTAAATAAATTGTGGGCTATCCATACAACAGAAAATTAAACAGCCACAAGAAAAGGAAATTTATGACATTTATAAAAATAGAGTAAATATAGTAGATTAAACACTTATAAAAGCTAGTATGAAGGTTCAAAGACAAAAGTAGTGAAAACAACTCATTACAAGAATTAGTTAAGGGATAAGTTAGATGAAAAGATATATAAAGAAATATCAAAAACATGAAACATGGCAGCAGGGAGTAAAAATATTAAGCCTTAGAATGCAACCAAACCTAAATTATCTACATAAAAGTGGGCCATTATAGATATAAGATGTTACGTGTAAACCTCATGGTAATCACAAAGGGAAAACCTATAGTAAATATACAAAGGATAAAGGAAAAGGAATGTAAGCATACCACTAAAAAAAGCCATCAAATCACAAAGAAGGAGAGCAAGAGAACAAAAGATGAACAGAAAGACATAACCAAAAATGCCAGAAAATTGTGAACAAAATGGCAGTAAGTACATATCTATCAATAATTATTTGAAATGTAAATGGACTGAGTTCCCCAATCAAAAAACATAGAGTGGCTGAATAAATTAAAAACAAGACCCATCTCTATGCAGTCTACAAGACGCTAACCTGAAATATAAGGACACACAGAGACTGAAAGTGAAGGGAAGGAGAAAGATACTCCATGAAAATGGAAACCAATAGGAAGCTGGAGTAGCTATACTTATATCAGACAAAACCAACTTTAAAATAGAGACTACAAGGGCGCCTGGGTGGCTCAGAGGGTTAAACCTCTGCCTTTGGCTCAGGTCATGATCTCAAGGTCCTGGGATGGAGAACCACGTCGGGCTCTCTGCTCAGTGGGGAGCCTGCTTCTCTCTCTCTGCCTGCCTCTCTGCCTACTTCTGATCTCTGTCTGTCAAACAAATAAATAAAATCTTTAAAAAAATTTTTTTAAATCTAAAAAATTAAATAGAGACAACAATAAAACACAAGGAGAACTACATAATGATAAAGGGACCAACCCAACAAAAGGATTTAACATTTGGAAAAATTTATGTAGCCAATATAGGAGCACGTAAATAAATAAACCAATATTAACAGACCTAGAGGAAAAAGCAGACAGCAGCACAATAATAACTGGGGACTTCATATCCCATTTACATCAATGGATAGATCACCCAGACAGAAAATCAACAAGGAAAGAGCAACCTTAAACATGTTAGACCAGATGAACCCAACCAAAAGCAAAAGAAATACATATTCTTCTCAAGTGCACACGGAACAGTCTCCAGGACAGATCACATGTTAGACCACAAAACATGTCTTAACAAATTTAAGAGGACTGAAATCATATCAAGCATCTTTTCCAAGCACAAATGATATGAAACTAGAAGTCAATTCCACAAAGAAAACAGGAAAATTCACAGATAGAGGAAAATTAAACAACTTGCCACCAACCAATCAAGAAATCAAAGAAATTAAAAAAAATTTAATACAATGAGACAAACAAAAATGGAAATAAATCAAAATTTATGGGATGCAGCAAAGAAATTCTAAGAGAAATTCAGAGCATTAAACCCCTATCTTAAGAAACTGGTTCTCTGGGGACGCCTGGGTGGCTCAGTTGGTTAAGCCGCTGCCTTCGGCTCAGGTCATGATCCCAGCGTCCTGGGATCGAGTCCCACATCGGGCTCCTTGTTCTGTGGGGAGCCTGCTTCTCCCTCTGCCTCTGCCTGCCACTCTGTCTGCCTGTGCTCGCTCTCTCTCTCTCTCTCTCTGACAAATAAATAAATAAAATCTTAAAAAAAAAAAAGAAAAAAAAAAAGAAACTGGTTCTCTGAAAAGATAAAAATGATAAATCTTTAGCTAAGTCTTACCAAGAAAAAAGAGAAGGTAGTCAAATAAACAAAATCAGAAATGAAAGAAGAGATTTTAGAAGTGATGCCATTTAAATAAAAAGATCATAAGAAACCATGATGAGGGGAGCCTGGGTGGCTCAGAGGGTTGGGCCTTTGCCTTCGGCTCAGGTCCTGATCTCAGGGTCCTGGGATCAAGCCCCGCATCGGGCTCTCTGCTTGGCGGGGAGCCTGCTTCCCCCTCTCTCTTTGCCTGCCTCTCTGCCTACTTGTGATCTCTCTGTCAAATAAATAAATAAAATCTTAAAAAAAAAAAAAGAAAGAAAGAAACCATGATGAATAATTATATGCCAAAAAATCGGCATGTTTTGCCAACCAAGCCTATAGACAACCTAAAAGAAACAGAAAAATTTCTAGCAACATACAACCTACCAGACTGAATCATGAAGAAACAGAAACTCTGAACAGACTGATTACTACTAAGGAAATGGAATTGGTAATCAAATACTTCCCAAAAAATCAAAAATCCAGAACCAGAAGCCTTTCATTGGTGAATTCTACCAAACATTCAAAGAAGGATTATAACCA